TATTGTATTGAAGAAAGTCGCCAATAAGTAATATCTCCGTAGAGGGCGATGTTCATCATTGTTGTCCCGGAGAGCGCTTACTTCATGTACATATTTGTTTGATTTTGATTTCGAATATCTCATGACCAATCAGCACAGTCACGGCAGTGAATGGTAAGATACAATAAGATGTTTTATATATATCAAATAATACATCTATTTAACATTAATTTTAACATAAAATTTGCAAAATCACGGAAAATTAATAAATATAGTACTGAGTTTTAAATTAATAATAGTATTGATTTGACATGTATGTTTTCATAATAAATATATATAACCTTATGTTGCGTTGCGTTGCGTTGGATTGCGTTGCGTTGGTTATAAGCGAGCAATAATGTACTTGCCTTACCAAGTATATTACACACACATAATTCATGTCCATGTTCATGTCATAACACAAGATATAACCATTTACTAGTACTATAGTCTGGATATACACACTTCCATAAAGTAAACATGATGAAAACTTTGAGTGGCAGCAATACGTGACAAACAATTGCCACAATTGTTAAATCATAATATATCGTGTTTTTCTATCAAAGCCACCTCGAACATCTAAAAAAGAGAAACATTTTATCCTCCTTGACCGACAGCATGTGTTTGGTTTCGTAAGTCGAAGATTATGTTTTTGGTTACATCATCAAATGATTATTAGGCTCGTTCATTGGCTGCTCGGAATTTCACAGAACTCCAACCAAAGCTTTACCTCCGAATTCATAGCGTCATATATAGTTATTTGGAAAACTATGAAAGTATCATAACTCGAATAGCTGCTAACGATAATATAAATAGAAAATGTTGGCAGTTAGTCGCAGTCTTTGGTTATTCAAGGATTATTATTATTAACTATTATTTTCTATACATTATATTTATTGGTTCTAGCAGCTTTCACCAAGGGGTGAACAAGATGGCGGATTTGTGAAGTACTCGGACAAGCGGAAATGTCAGGTGATTCTGCAGCCCTTAAGCAGTACTCAATATATTCCCCTTTACGAATTGTTTGCCTTCAAAGCCTTGAAGGAATACTAGAATAATCCAGAACGTGTAGTGATTTATTCGAAAGTCATTCCAACATAACTTCTCTCATAATAAGTTTTGGGAATCATATAACGTCTTTTCTTTGGAATGTATCCTGTGTCTTCGAGGTGCGATAAAAATATTTTCATACGGACACTGTGTTGTTCTTGTTCGTGTCTGTTTTCCGCGAGTAGATAACGACGTTTTTCCTCATAACGCCACTTGGAGGCAGACTGCTGGACATCTTCATGTTCTTCTATAATGCGTGGACTCCCTAGCAACCTGGCTGTTCCATCCCGCCTCGTATCACTCAGACGTATTCTTGCCATCTGTTTTGCAAA